TTTCGATATGGAAAGAATTGTTTCATCAACCCGAAATTCTTTTCACCAGAAAGTAAAGAACAACGAAACTTTTGAAAAGATAGCAGCACAAGAACAAATTGAATTAATGAAGCTGAAAACCCTGTCGTTTACTCGGTGGGCTTCATCCTACAATGCCCTAAACAGCTTGTTCCAAAACTTTCCTGTTCTTAAAGTTTACTATCAATGTAAATTCGAAGAGCAACAAAAAAAACCTAAGAAGTTTAAAGAGGCAATTTCTAAGGACGACGACAAAGACGACCTATCTTCTGATGATGACGACAACGATGAGCCACCCTCTGACAATGACAGCAAAACTGACCTGTCCTCTGATGATGACGACAAAACTGACCTTTCTTCTGATGATGACGCCAAAACTGACCTATCCTCTGATGAGAAGCCGGTGAAAGAAAAAGTCAAAAAACCTAAAGGCCAAATGAGCACTGAAGAGCTGAACAANGAAAAAGTCAAAAAACCTAAAGGCCAAATGAGCACCGAGGAGCTGAACAACTTTTATTTGTCTGACGTCAACTATGTCTGGACAGAACTTCTTATGACAGTCAAAAAACAGTTTCACAGTTGTTCACAGAGAATCCAAGGCGAAACGATAAGTCTAATGGAAGGTTGTGCTGTTGCCACCGAGTTGAGCAACTTTTGCAACAATACGCAGAGTACAATCAACTTTTTGTTCAACACCGAAACTTCATTAGGCTCAAACTTTGCTCGACTTGACGCCCAAGAGCAGTCTCAGGTCCGAAAAGGAATCACAACTTTGCTGACAGCCTCAGGCGCTTATCTGAAGATGTGGCTAAAAGAGTTTAACAAATATGATGCGTTCGAGTGGGTGCTTCTTAACGACGTCGTTTTAGTTGAGGACGTTGAAGAAACTATCAATTTTTTAAATTCCAACCAAATCAAAATTGACTTTGACTGCAAAACTCTGATTGATGACGTTTCACATTTAAACGAGGCTTTTCTCGAGATCTACGAATTTGAAGATAAAAACCTAAGCTCACCGATTGAAAAATGGATCAATGTGTTTGAAACAATGGATCTAAACAGCACGTCTTCGCCTACAATTCGAAAGCTTGTTTCAATCATTCTGTCGTTGTCTCCGTCTAACTCGGTGCCAGAAGGAATCTTTTCTCAGATGAAACATTTTTGGAGAGACGGAAAGTCAAACATTGATTTTTGGTCCGTTTTTGCATTTGTCATGATCAAATTTAACTTGTGCAAAACATTTTCTGTCACCGATTTCAAGCAGGAGTTTCTGGAAAAAGACGACGCGCTTCTTCGAGAAATTAGATCTAACTCGAAGTTTGACAAGTTAAGCAAGAAGCA